TCGTAATTTTAAGTTTTGGTAGAAGTTAAACTCTGACAAAAAAGTTATATGCTACCTCCAGTCCTCTTTTAGTCAAAGTAAAAAAACTGCTGATCAGATAAACAGCAGGACAGCTAATAGCTTGATACCATAATTATATATCTCAATATTCACAGCAATATAAAGTATGATAATCTTGAATTATCATATGAATGTTAGTTGGCAGCAGTTCTAGGTTAATGTTAATGTGGACTGCCTTTTTTGTTCTTTTTGCTTAAACGTGTTGAAAAATAAAAACATTTCATCTTATCATCTGTCAAAGTAGTTTGATTTTTTTTCTAATTGGATAGAGGGTCAGAAAGATCCCTACAGTCTAGGAATACATGGTGTTTGTATCTATTATCCAAATCTGTTATTTCTGGAAAGATTTTCATTATCTGCAAGATCCTTACAGAAGTTACAGAAATTAGAAATATCTCAATACCATGGTGGCCCACATATGGATCATAAAATGTAGGAAACTCCCAAAAGTTTCTATTAATTTAATTTGAATCTGAATCCACATCATGATAAAATGAAGAAGTAAACCAGATAGGGGTTTTGTTTTATTTTGCATGTATATATTTAATTTATCTGCTATCCATCTCACCATCCAAAACAAATCTGTGCAACTTTTAGATTTTTGCATAGATATAGGTAGAAAAAGTTGGGATGTAACCATGGGTTTGCAGTCTTGGTCATACTAGGGTCTTATATGAAAGTAAATTTAGTCTGTATTGTGTGAGGGCAAATTACATTCTGATCAAAATAGCAATATGAGTTAGTTACCAGAACTTCTTTTTTATCATTTTTCCCTACAATTTACTATCCTTCTGAGACTTCTGAGTCAGCAGTCCCAAATACTTGAAGACGTTGGAGAAGGTTGCTGCAGGGCACCAAAATCTTAATCTTAAAAAGTATTTTAAAAAATTAAGCTCATATAACAAAGCAGTGACCAAAACCTCAACATAAATAATGCATTGATTTAGTACTTTACACTACAGGAATTCAAAATGGCTAGTCTTACACAGCATGTTTAACTTGATTACTGAAGTAAGCCATTTTCTATGATTGCACAATCACAGACCAATCACATGAATTGAGTTTGTCAAAAACATAAGATTCAAAAAACCTAAAACTTTAATTAATCAAGTATCTGTGCAAGTTCAGCCAAAAGATTTTTTTTTACATTTAGAGTAATAAAGAAAGAAAAAGCAGAATTAGATATTAAAATGGGAAGATTTATCTGTTATCTTCAAACTATAATTTAGTATCTAAAATTATAATTTAGCTTATTTAGTATCCTATGACTAGGAATTCCTAATGCCTAGGAATCCATACTGAAGAGACAATGGATATCTGAAGATACAATTAAACTGAGATTTTTGTTTCTTCATCTTCAACATTTTTTCTTGCTAAAACAAGTCTAATCCATTATCATCACTAACTAGAACATGTGCAAGAGAGCATGTTTAATCAGTAGAAGTCAGGAAACATCTTAAATTGCTGTACATTATTATCTGCAGGCTTCCAAATTATTGAGCAATCTTGTTCCCTTTTACAACATTCAAAGATAAAAACTGAACACTACAGCCTAGAGTCACGAAATGAATAGCTGCAGAATTCAGACAATCAAGGGAAGAAACGCAATAAACCAGAATTACAGATCAAAGATTAGACAAATCAAGACTACTATTTTTTTAGAAAAATAAACCATACATAAACAGTCAAACAGGAGTAATTATAGAACTTGTTGGAGAAGTAAGGAAAGAGATTATATCTTAGATTTTAGATACAAGCAAATGTAAGAAATTTAGAGAGAGAAGGTGACTGTCCCAGATGAATGGGGATGGAAAATAAGAATATGTATAGGCATAGAAATCTGATGGGTATTGAATACAAGATATGAACAAATTTTATCTGTGCTAATGGGGAGAAGATAAGAAAACTGGAAAAAGAAATGGTGAAAAAAATAGCATGAAACAAACCAGACTATTTGTTATACATTGTTTCTCAGAATTTGAGGCCATGCAAATTAACATAAAATGTTCTCATTTTTGCTTTTCTGGGGGTTGAAGAAACAGATGGGATTTTATTGATTTGGCTCATGGACAAGAACAACTGTTGCTATATATTTTCTGTCTTAGTGCTTAAAAATTATGATAATTCATTTACTTTCACATTACAGTGGTAACTTTTGGTAACTAATGTAAGATTCAAATGAGCAGAATGGAGTTTTGAATTTGGCCTCCAATTCTGCATCCTGCACATGCCTGGACCGAAGTCAGTCCAATAAATGTTTATTCCAAACGTAAACATTTTTTTAGGCTTCCAGACTGTGATAAAGCTGAAATATGACTTGCATGTGAGTTGCTTTATTCAGACTCTTACCACACTTACAAGGGTATGGAAAAAAGCAAGAACAATTTTTCTCTTCCCACTTTTTATTTCAAGTTTCTAATTTTCCTCTCAATAGTTGTAGTTTCAATATTGGCATGGATTTTTCCAGTATTAAGAGTCTATTGGGCAAATGGGAAGATCCACACTCATTTTCTGATCCACTGGTTCTAATCCATTGCATCTCCACTATAAAGTCAATAACCAACCTTTTCTTAAATTTCCACTGGTGAGACTGGTAGAAAAATATTTATTAATTCATTTTATTTTAAGATCGTAAGACATATCCTTGTACATCACTTGAAGTCATGTTTCAGTCTGACAGGACACGGTCTCTTTAAAATGCAATTAGCCATCCTCCTATGTCCTATTAATAAGGTTGCATTAAAGGACTGGCAGTTTTTATTACTGTAGGAAGAGTATATTGTATAACCTCATTGCTGAGGGCAGTCTATGATTCAAAAGCTCTTGGACAAACAGCACATGTGATTGAAAAATCAGCTATGGCAGGGCTTCTTATCACTTGAGATTTACACTTGAGATTGTTTGCCTGGAACTTTGCTCCCCAATATTTGCAAGTGAAACAGCAGGAACATCAGAAGTTAAAAATAAAAACTGGTCCCCCTTTTATTTGATGATGTTTGTGCTATCTATGAATAGTGAGTGTAATTTTAGTTTAAATAAAAATTCTGAATTTTCTTCTCTTCCCTAATTTTCCAAAAATAAAGAAGCTGACATCTCTAAGATTGTGATATCTAATTTTTTGTATAATGACTCATTACTCAGAAATGTGATAGCAGTTGGCTGCAAGAGCAACAACATAATGCAACATTAAGTGCCTTTTGAGACTCATGTAGCAGCTTCACACCTACAGGAAAAAGAAAGGATGGTTGGAATGGAATGGAATGAGGGTGGCCTAAAAAAAATAAAATATCCTTTCCACTAAGTCCCAATCCCCTCCCTTCCTGTTGTCAAACACTGTACTGCCAGATGGAAGGATTTGTAACTGATGAACCAGCAAATGAGCTTGCTCTCTTTTCAACTGCAGCCAATTTCATATAGTCAGCTATAGTCATCAGATTCAAAGGTACTGGTTGCATATGTTCATCCATACTTAAATGAACCATGGCTTACTCAATCAATTCCTTGGGTCTGCAGACATATTGAACAACAAATTCAATATCGGCTGAAGGAGCACAAAATACTGAATCACAACTTAGCCAAACATTTTAGTTTTCCATATTGTGCAAATCTGCTAAGAATCTTGCAAACAAAAGCCAATTAGGTTAACTGAGTTACTCATAAGCAAGCATGCTCAGCAATCACAATTAAGCCAGCCAAGACCTATATTGGATCTATATTGGACACAATACATTAGCCCTTTGGATTTAATTAACTCTATTTGCTGAATTTTCACAACAGACTGAACTATAAAACATAAACTCAATGGCCTGGATCCTGCAAACACAACTTGTCTATGTCTCAAAATAATATACTTTCCAGAGTGCTTGGCATGTTTTGATGCTAGAGACGCAGAATTTGACCCTCTAGTCAGTTCTAGCCTTATCAGGATATATTTTTTTTATAACTACCCTGTTTTCCCCAAAATAAGACATCTCCTGATAATAAGCCCAATCAGGCTGTTGAGTGCATGGCAATAAGGCCAAGCACTTATTTCAGGGTTCAGAAAAATATATGACAGGGTCTTATTTTGGGGGAAACACGGTATATGTTGGTAGTATGAGGTATTATCCATCCCTAATAGGCATTCTTGGAAAGGCTGGGCTTGTAAAATATACATGACCACAATCAAGGCAACTATTTCATATTTACTCCTGTGTTGGGACACAACCTGTGTGATTAGATAATGGCTTGATGTGTTCTCTGAACTCAGGTAATTGCTAGAGAAATTGGTTAGGACAAAGTTATGTAAATGCTGCTAGGGTGATGAGAGCTAGGGACTAAATGAACACCTAAAGATAAGGTTGAACAATGATAAAAGTCTGTAGAGATTCTCAGTCCTCCAGGTCATGGTTGTCCCAAAGGTGCTTTTTCAGGTGGCAACTGGACTTTCTTGTTTTTTCTTTTGAAGACCTTTAGCTTCTCATCCAAGAAGCTTCTTCAGCTCTGACACTATCCCACTTCCCACTATCCTGTCAGAACTGAAGAAGCTTCTTGGATGAGAAGCGAAACGTCTTCAAAAGGAAAAAAAAAACAAGAAAGTCCAGTTGCTTCCCGAAAAAGCACCCTTGGGGTTGCTCAGGGATATCGAGAGACACGCTGCATTTACCTTTATTTTTCTATCTTCTAGCCTTCTGAAGCGGGCAAAAGAACTCAAGAGGAACTTTTGAAAATTCAGACAATTCCGAAGTCATATCGTAAAGCATTCTCCTTCCACGCCGATGGAGTTCAGCTCTGACAATTGTCTTATACGGCATAATACTTTCTCCGGTCTTATTGTTTTTGCTGCGGGGCGTGTGTGGGTGTGGGTGTGGGTGTGGGGGTGTTGGTGGTTAACAACGCCACCCGATAATCATTTTTATTGTGCCCCACCCCTCCCCTGCAAAGCGAGTCTGCGCGGCCGGTGGAGACAGCCGACCTCCCTCAACCAGAAAAAGTCAGGCGCGTCAGACCGAAACTTCGGTAGCTCTTCTCGCTTCCTGCCATGCTCCGAGCCGCGGCTCCTCTCTTCTTGGCTGCCGACGCACCGAGAGCGGGAGCCCTCCAGCCGCCCAACCCCTGAAGCGGTCGCCAGCTGCGATAGCGAACAAGTGCAACCTCTTCCTTCGGGCGGACTGGGCTCAAGCCGCCGCCGCCGCCGCCGCGCGCTGCTGCTCTTCCTGCCTCCGCGCTTGCAGCGGCAACGGGCGGCGGGGTTGGTGGAAAAGGCGGAGGCGGAGGAGGCGAAGGGAGGGAGGCGGGGAGGAGAGAATGGCAGCAGCCGAGGAACCCGGAGCGGCACCAGCAACAGGGAGCAGCAGCAAGGCCGGCGAAGGGGAGCCGGCGTCGTCTTTCCAGAGCCGCCTGTGGAGGAGCCTGCAGCTGGGGGGCAGGGGCAAGGGCAAGGGCAGCGGCAAAGCGGGAGCCGAACGCCGCAGTGCGGACACCTCGCCGTCGCTTCCTCGGAGTCGCGTCACGGAGCAGCCGGCCAAGGCGGACTTGTTAGCAGGGGGAGTCAGCGTCGGCGTCGCCAGATGGGCCGCCTTGAGGCGTCGAAAACACGTGCTGGACCGCGTCTTCTCGTCCTCTCAGCCCAACTTGTGCTGCTCCTCCGCAGAGCCCCTGGAGGCTGTGAGCGCCGAGGCCGGCTCTGCTCTGCGCCGCCTCCGCGAGCATCTCCTTCACCATCCTCAGGGCAAAGCGGGGCAGCAGCAGGGCCGGGGCCCCGACGACCCGCCCGCCTCTCCTTCCTCGGCCTCTTCGGCGGCTGTCCCCGAAAAGGACCGGGTAGTAGGCGAGGATGGAACCCTCACAACCGAAGCGCGGGAGGAGCCTCCGCAGCCGCCCCGACTCGGGGCTCACCTGTCCCATCAGAAGAGCTCTTCTCTGCCCGGCAACACCGCCTGCCTGGAGCAGTTGCTTCAAGACTCGCCCTCCAAGGGCAAAGCCAAAGGGCCGGAGGGAAGCGGCAGCCCTTCAGTGAGTCCTCGTTCTTCGAAGCTATTACAGGCAGGTGCTTTAGTTTACGGTATTAATTTGCATTGGGGGATGAAGCAGATATTTGGTTCCTCAGTGGGTTTTAGATGTGTGGACAAGGTTGGCTGGGGAAGTCTGGGAGTGAAAGACCCCACTTAAAGTTGCTGACTTAAAGAATAGTTGTTTCCCCAATAGTCTATTTTTGGGTGGGTGGGGAAAGGGAATGGGATGCTAAGAAAAAAGATGGAAGTAATACAGCTAGTCAAGTGAATTTTGCCCCATTTTACAACTTTTCTTGCCACGGTTGTTAAGTGAATCACTGCAGTGGATTAAGTTAGTGATGTGTTTGTTAAGCAGATCTGGCTTCCCCATTGGCTTTGCTTGTCAGAAGGTCACAAAAGGTGATCACATGACCCCAGGACATTGCAACCGTCATAAATATGAGTCAGTTGCCATGCATCTGAATTTTGATCATGTGACCACGGGGATGCTGCAACTGTCATAATATTGACTGTCATAAGTCAATATTTCAGTGCCATTGAAACGTTGAGTGGTCACTAAATGAACTGTTGTAAGTCTAGGACTACCTGTACTGAGAAAACAGAGAATTCCTAACGGAAAATACAGCTTGTTGACTCTCCATTAAGTATGTTGTGAGTAAGCTGCAAATATACCATAGGACTGCCTCCAAATAAGTTGCTAGTCTCAATCATGTTAGCTTTCCTGCTCCTTCTGTCCTTCCTGCTCTCCTCTGAATTATGCACTTTAAAAGAATGTATGAGCAGCAGTCATTTAATTTTTCTAGTGCAAAGGAAAGGATTTGTTTGTTTTTTGTTTCACACCTGCTTATTTTCACTCCTAGACATCCTACTTCTTCTTTTGCCCTCAATCTTTCCCTCATTAGGTTCTTCTCCAGTGAGTCCTTACTTTGGCCACCTAATGAGAAGGAAGGACTCACTGGAGAAGAGCTAATGCTGGGAAAGATTGAGGGCAAAAGAAGAAGGGGATGACAGAGAATGAGGTGGCTGGATGGAGTCACTGAAGCAGAAGGCGTGAGCTTAAATGGACTCCAGAGGATGGTAGAGGACAGGAAGGCCTGGAGGAACATTGTCCATGGGGACGCGATGGGTTGGACATGATTTTGCAACTACAAAGACATCCTACAGAAATCTAGGTTTTCTACTGGATATAGAGAAAAGGCTACAAATGTTTTTAGTGCCTCCAATATAAGAGGCATTTTACCAGTGTGTTACAATTGCTGCCTGTGAGATTCCCCTGGGTGTCTGGTTGACTAATACAGCAACTGAATGCTGACCTTATAACTCTGTCAAGTGTGATAGTCCTTACATGTAGGACTAAGAGCTTGCTCTATTTTTAGTTTTAAAAAGGTTCGAAAATCCAACCTTGACAAAGATATAATCTGAGTGCCTAACAAATTCAAACCTTTATTGTCAGTGCACAACATATGTACAATGAAATTGATTGAGCTCCCTCAGTGCACACTCCCCAAGACAATACAACTCACAGTGAAGACAGAAAAATCCCAGTGATTCTAACCGTCCTAACAATCCTAACAGTATGTAATTCACTTGCATTTAAGGGAAGGGATTAGATAAATACATTTTTAAAATTTGTGAAATATTTGTAAAAGGTCCCTTATATTTAGCCAGAGTGTGTGGTAGTATATCATATATGATTCATCCAAAGAACCAGTGGTAGTTGCAGGTGACTTAGCTTGCTCACCTTTCCTGTGAGTGAGATGAAACATTGCACACCTAGAATTCTTGGCTAGCCATGAATGAGCACACTATTCAATTGATTCCTCCCCTCCAGCAGCGTAATGTCTAAGGCAATCATTGGAAAGCATAACTTTCTGTTGCTTTATACTCTAGGTACAGATAGTCCTTGACTTACAACAGTTCACTTAGTGTCACAATGTTCGAAGTTACAACGGCACTGAAAAGATGACTTATGACCGTTTTTTCTCACTTATGACCATTGCAGCATCCCCATGGTCACATGATTTACATTTGGATGCTTGACAACTAACTCATATTTATGATAGTTGCAATGTCCCAGGGTCATATGATCACTTTTTACCAACTTCTGACAAGCAAAGTCAATGGGGAAATGAGATTCACTTAATCTTATATGTTACTAGTTTAACAACTACAGTGATTCACTTAACAACTGTGGCAAGGAAGATCATAAAATGGGGCAAAACTCACTTAATAAATTTCTCATTTAGCAACATAAATTTTGGGCTCAATTGTGGCCATAAATTGTGGATTACCTGTATAGACATTTTGTCTTGTCCTTTGCAATCGAACTACAGTTGAACATTTAGGTTTCTTGACTGGGTATTGATTTTTAACTTATTTGAAAGCAACAAGATGGAAATCCATGTTGCAGGTCATGAGACACCATTGAAGGACCTTGCAAGATTTATTTGGTTGCCCTTGTTGGTGAAAGGGCCTAGCTGGAAATGATTGGGCAACCTGCATCAGTCTAATTCAGAATTCCTAGACTATGATTGTGTCTACTTTCATAAAACAAGCTTTGAATAAAGAAAATAAGTTTATATAATGCCTGAGCCAAATCAAATCCATGCCTCCGTGAAATGTGCAGACATAGCTTCAGTGTTGTTCAGAGTGCTGCAAAGTATTTTTATGTAAGTGCTAACAAATTGCCCAAGTAAAATTTAAATCAGTAGATGCCCTTGGATAATCTGTATTTCAGATGAAATCTTTTCTCTCTTAAATATATTTCTTCCTTGCAACCTTAAATCCACATATTTATTGCTGATAATGTAGTGGTGCCCAGGATTGTTAGAAGACATCGGATGGCAGCTGAAAGATTGCTTTCTGACAGCATTATTAGTCATGCCCTAATTCTTAGCACATTGACTTGGAAATAAGCCCAGTTGATTGCAGGAGCACCTGCTTGTAGACATAAATCAGGTTATATCTATACTTTGTGGCATTGTTTTGTTAATGATGTTACCCGTTATGAATTAAATTTTATTTGCAGATCTAGCCATGTATATTTTACAACTTTGAGTTTTCCTTCTGTCACATTCTAACCATATTCCTCTGCATTATTTAATTTAGTCTAATTGGTATAATTAAAAAGAAAGCAAATATGGAAGATTTTAGTATATAAAATACCTACCGGTATAAGATGGACAGCATAGAAGAGTCAAATGAAACAATGCCGTAAGACAGTGCCTTGATGTTATTATTGTATGATAAAGATATTCTTTTTAAATAAATGGTACTAGTTGCATTGTCTGTTTTTTGGAATTCCCTGTTCTTGCAAACATAATTTATTATCCCCTTTGTTTATCCCTAATTCCTGTGTGGTTATAAAAATCAATAATAGCAACTCCATTTGTGTACTTTTTATTTTTCTGGAGATAACTTGATAGCTGAATGCATAAACATCTTGCAAGTCTTTGCTGGAACCTTTGAATGCATTGTCAAAGCAATGGGAGTTGGATTTCAAGTATTACTTCTCTAAAGTAAAAAAAAAAAGGTTGAGAGAATTGCAAGGCTGTACATATATATCTATGTAATTTACTCAGTTTTAGTAAGTGTACAAAGATAATATTAATTACGTGACTTTATAAATGAAGTGACTTTGGATGCTAATTATAAGGGGAAAGGAACTCTAAATTGTTCTGTTTTTGACACTACATAGTAACAGAACTGACTAGGTACAATATATAACATGGAATAAAACCCAATAATATATCTAGGCAAGGAATGTGGGAGCAACATAAATGAAATAACATGCATCAAGAATAAAAATTGAATTTATAGAGTAAAACTTCACGTTCAGTACTTTCAAATAATTACTTTTGCCATTTGTGAAAGTACATAAGTATATAACTTCTATAAAAATGATGCAAATTAAATAAAAGATCAAATAAAAATGGACACAAATCACAATTTGAGTGTAATCAGAAATTAGATTTATTATACCCTATTGAATTGAAATTTGTTGTTACTCTTGAAATGAGATTTCCTGGAACTTGTTTCTCTACTCTTTGCTTTAGAAATATTTAGTTTAAGTGAAAATATAGTTAAGAACTCTAGTTGATAGTATAGCTGATATATCTGATAGTAGCTGATAGTATAGCTGATATATGTCACCTCCCAGCTGGACTACTGTAATGCTCTCTACATGGGGCTCCCCTTGAAGACCACTCGGAAGCTCCAGCTGGTCCAGAATTCAGTTGCGCGGGTGGTTATGGGCGCGACTCATTGCGCCCATGTGACACCTCTCCTGCGTGAGCTGCACTGGCTCCCAGTGGTCTTCCAGGTGCGATTCAAGATGTTGGTCACCACCTTTAAACTGCTCCATGGCTCAGGACCTGGATACCTTCAAAACTGACTTCTGCCATCAGTAGCCTCCCACTAGACAATTTGCTCCCACAGAGAGGGACTCCTCAGGGTGCCATCGGCCAAGTTATGCCGGCTGACAACACCCAGGGGCAGGGCCTTCTCTGTGGGAGCTCCTGCCCTGTGGAATGAACTGCCCCCAGAAATACGCAAGATCTCCGACCTCCGTGTGTTTCGCTGTGCCCTTAAGACCCTGCTGTTCCGCCAGGCAGGGCTATCTATGTAAATGATTTTTAAACTGGTGTTTTAAATTTTGGGTTTTAAATTCTGGCTGAAATTGTTTAATACTTTTAACTATTTTAAAACTATTGTTGTATTTTGTGTTTTTAATTGGCTGTACACCGCCCCAAGTCCTTTGGGAGGGGGGCAGTATATAAATTAAATTATAAATAAATAAATAAATAAATAAATCTAGAGTAATAGTCCAACTTTATTAATTTGCCGATCAAATAAATAGAAACTAAAAATGGTTAACTTGGAGACAGTTAAACAATCTTGTTCTATGGGTACAAGCCAGTTCTCTGAGTGAAACTGGAAGCATATATTATAGATAGAATAGAATAGAATAGAATTTTTTATTGGCCAAGTGTGATTGGACACAGAGGGAATTTGTCTTGGTGCATATGCTCTCAGTGTACATAAAAGAAAAGATCATCAAGAATCATAAAGTACAACACTTAATGATAGGGTACAAATAAGCAATCAGGAAACAATATCATTATAAATCGTAAGGATACAAGCAACAAAATTACAGTCATACAATCATAAGTAGAAGGAGATGGGTGGTGGGAACAATGAGAAGATTAATAGTAGTGCAGACTTAGTAAATAGTTTGACAGTGTTGAAGGAATTATTTGTTTAGCAGAGTGATGGCATCCGGGAAAAAACTGTTCTTGTGTCTAGTTGTTCTAGTGTGCAGTGCTCTATAGCATCATTTTGAGAGTAGGAGTTGAAACAGTTTATGTCCAGGATGCGAGGGGTCTGTAAATATTTTCACAGCCCTTTTTTTGACTTGTGCAGTATACAGGTCCTCAATGGAAGGCAGGTTGGTAGCAATCGTTTTTTCTGCAGTTCTAATTATCCTTGAAGTTTATGTCTGTCTTGTTGGGTTGCAGAGCCAAACCAAACAGTTATAGAGGTGCAGATGACAGACTCAATAATTCCTCTGTAGAACTGTATCAGCAGCTCCTTGGGCAGTTTGAGCTTTCTGAGTTGGCACAGAAAGAACATTCTTTGTTGTGCTTTTTTGATGACGTTTTTGATGTTAGCTGTCCATATAAGATCTTGCGATATGGTAGAACCTAGAAATTTGAAGGTCTCTACTGTTGATACTGTGTTGTCTAGTATTGTGAGAGGTGGAAATATGGAAGGGTTCTCCTAAAGTCTACCACCATTTCTACGGTTTTGATTCCAGGATCATATTCCATAAATCTGATTAAATTAATGTGCTTCATGGAAAGTTAATATTTACTGCAGGATTTTGCAGTAAGCCTGTAAAATGAAATTTTATTGGCAGTACACTTATTGCTGACAAGATTTGGTTTCATAGCTGTAATCTCAGATTTCCATAAAGCAACACATGATAATGTGGTTCCAGTCCCAGAAGAGAAGTAGAGTGTTCAAGAGGAGGTCTGTGGTCAAGCTGAGAAAGGAATAACAAACAGTTGTCAAAAGCAGCAAGCCCTAATTATCCTGAAACTGGCAATGAAGTCTTTGCTCAAGACTCATAATTGAAATTCATCCTGTTCTCCAACAATTTATAGGCAAAGGTTTTTATATACCAAATTTCTGCTTCTATCAATTGAACATATCAACTTTAAGTGATAGAACTGCTCAAAAGCAAAATCTTAGATCTGAGTAGACTGTTACTTTTTCCTCAGGTTTGTACTTCGTTAACCTTTAATTTTTGGCTCAATAATAATTGTTTCTAGAATTTAGGATCACAGATTTCATTGTTGAAGCGGTTGGTTTGGTGAGGCCTGGTTCTTTAAGTTTAAAGGTGTGATGGAGTGGTATTTTAAAGCATTATTTGTTGTATTTAAATATCCCTTCCTACTTGATTGGATATTAAAGATTTATAATCAGTAATTAAAATATATATATATATTGAAGTGGTTCGGGAATAACGAGAGGCACAACCAAGCAAGTGACAACAGCTCTTTAATTTACAGTGAGACTTCAGCAAAAACTCAGAGGCTGCAGCCCTCCTTATATACAATCCTGGAGGGACTGTCAGCCAATCAGAAACATAGGCAGGTTTGAAACTCCCGCTTAAAGGTATCAATACATAACACCCCTCCCTTCCCAGAAGGCACTAACATTCAAATATTTACATAAGTACACACAAAATCTCGCAGATGCCCAGGCCGAGTTCTCGTCCTAGTTGACCTGCGCAGTTCAGTGTTTGGTGGGGCGTCGAGCTGGTCGGAGGGACTTTCTGTCACTCCCGGCTCCGCCAATGGAACCTCCTGGATTTTGTCCGGGGCGTGGTTATCCCCTGTTGGGAGTGGCGACTCGCTGGGGCAGCGCTGGAACCAGGGCTTGTCAGCTAAGTATTCTCGCGAACCCGGGCTTGAGTTAGCTGTTTTGGGAAAGTTGTTATAGTTAGGCTCGGAGATGTCTAAATTGATGTTTGCTTCGCCGACTACCCTTTTTGTCAGCTGGTCTATGTGGCGTTTTCAGAGTCTGTCTACTCCTACGTCTACCGTATAAGATTTCGGGCCCGATATGCCCACTATGGTTCCTGCAACCCATAGTGGTCCGCTGGCATAGTTGCGAGCAAACACCGGGGACCCAACCTGAAACTGTCTTAGTCCAGAGGTCTCTCTCTTGAAATTGTCGTGCGAGTAGTTAGGATGAAGCCTATCTAACACGCACCGAAGCTTCCTTCCCATGAGGAGCTCTGCTGGGCTTCTCCCTGTGGCTGTGCATGGTGTGGCATGCTGGACAGCCAAGAATTGGTCTATCCTGGCTTGCCAGTCCCCGTTATCTAGTCTGGATAGGGCCTCTTTGGCCGTTCTTACAAAACGTTCAGCCAATCCGTTAGAAGCCGGGTGGAACGGGGCCGATAGGGCATGGCGGATGCCCAGTCCGGCCAAGTAACCCTCGAACAGGGTTGCTGTGAATTGAGGGCCGTTGTCAGATACTAGAGTATTCGGTAGGCCGTGTGTGGCAAATAGCTTGCGAAGGGCTTTAATGACTGCCTCGGCTGTGGTAGAGGGCATTAGAATTATTTCGAGCCATTTCGAAAAGGCATCAACTACAATTAAAAATGTTTGCCCATGGAAGGGGCCAGCGAAATCAATATGGATCCTCCCCCATGGCCCCTTTGGTTTCTCCCACTCTCGGATGGGCGCTACCGGGGGATCGGGGCGAGACTCCTGGCAGGGTCTGCACTTCCCCACCCACTCAGAGATAACTTGGTCCATGTTGGGCCACCATACATAACTGCGGGCTAAACTTTTCATTCTGACAATGCCCGGATGCCCTTCGTGCAGCAATTCTAAGACCCTCGTTCGTAGTTTCGTTGGCACTACCACCCTGTCACCCCACAACAAACAACCACCTTGCATAAACAGTTCATTTCGTTTGTTTACAAAACCTTGGTAGTCCCCCCCCGTCCACCTTGACCGGCCACCGGCCACCCTTTCGGGTCCCTGGCTGAGGCTTTTGCCACTTTGGCAGAGGAAATAGGTCCCAAGGTTAATGTGTCCAGTAGAAGGACGGAGGCCTCTGGTGTTGGGTTGGTCAGTAAATCAGGTAGGGGGCAGTGGCTGAGGGCATCCGCGTGACCCAGGGTCCGTCCTGGTCGGTGTACAAGCTGATATGAATAGGCCGAAAGAAAAATAGCCCATCTAGTCAAACGTGGGGAAAGGGCGGCGGGGGTGGGCCTGTCGCTTGCCAAAAGTCCTAGCAAGGGCCAGTGATCAGTCACAAGTTCGAATTGCTGGCCATAAAGGTATTCGTGGAACTTTTTAACCCCCGCAATTGCAGCCAGAGCCTCTCTGTCCAATTGACTATAGTTTTGCTCTGCGCTTGACAGAGTGCAAGAGTAAAACGCAATGGGCGCCTCTAGGCCGTTCGGCAGTCTATGGCCTAGGACGGCACCAACT